TAAGTCCCACTGACGTACAATGGCGGAATGTTCATGAATTTTAATCTCTATTGTCACTTTCAGTATCACACACACACACACACACACACACACACACACACAGGCCCTTAGGAACACTTTCTCTCTCTCTGTAACTCCCACACACTCATTTGACTCATCTTTTAGGTAACCAATAAGTAATGACCTATGATCTTCATAGCCACACCCTAGCAAGCACTTACAGCACCCTAGCAACCACCCCATAGACCTCCATTGAAAACAGATCAAAAGAGATATCTTTGGATAGAAATGTCATAGAAACATGTTTTTTTTGCTCTTTTGACTCGTGATTGCAAACAGGGCTTCCCTCATGCATGCTACACGTGCTAGTGAATAGCTACATGCTACTAGTGATTAGCTAAGTGTTAAATCAGGCTTAGAACATACTAAGAACTCTATAATAGTAATGATGTGTGACAACTACCAACCGCTTAGCAACACAATAGTAAGCACCCAGAACATCCTAGCAACGCTCTAGCAACCACCTATAAACACCCTAGCAACCGAGGGGCGAGTTTTGCCACGGCAAGCACCACTCTCATTTTCTTCAGGAAATGTACATATCAAGTTATATGTATTACAGTGCTCCAGACAAAAAAAAAATTAATAAAAATTTATTTAAGGAGCCATTGGCTCCTACACTGTTAAAAAATATCCTGTAGAATTTACAGTTATTTACTGGCAGCAGTTTGCCAGTAACTTACTGTAAATTAAACTTACAGCAAAAATACTGTATTAATATTTACAGTGCCATTTATCTGGCTGTAAATGCATTTACAGTGTAGTATTTTTTACTGTAAAACATACACTAATTTTACGGTCTTTTCTTCAGTAATGTATCTTAATACAATAAAATGTAACTTGTAATTCATTGTCCATTTGTCTATTTACTGTAAAACTGTACAAACTGTAAATTACTGTATTTCATCAGGTCTCAGTAAATAATAAAAATAACCAATGACAACAGTGTAATTTGTTTTTAATTATTCAATTGTAAAAATTTAAATAACATTTACATTTTCTTGCAGATTGAACTTTGTTTTCTTCACAAACTCTGTTTTTCTCAAACCTGCAGTAACATTTATACATAAGTTTCATATTACAGCATTTTAAACCAATTCATGAACAAATTCAGTCATAATAACAATTTTAAAAACTTACAAATTCAAAAATCTCTCCCTAGTAGAATGTGTTTGCTCATAGTAGCAACTGTTCAAACCTGTAGTAACATTTATACAAACGAGTTTAATATTACATCATTTTAAACCAATTTCATGAACAAATTCAGTCATAAGAACAATTTTAAAAACTTACAAATTTAAAAAAAAACTCTCCCGAGTAGAATGTGTTTGCTCATAGTAGCAACTGTTCAAACCTGTAGTAACATTTATACACAAGAGTTTCATATTACAGTATTTTAAAACACTTAATGAACAAATTAAGTCATAAGAACAATCTTAATAACTTGCAAATTCAAAAAAACTTGCCTGAATAGAATGTATTTGCTCTTAGTAGCTTGATAGTTTTGAAGTAGGCTCTTATTGATAACAGCCAGGCTAGTCTTCCTATCAGCCTAACATACCTGGAACCATGGCAGATTGAAAGACAGCAGTTGTTGAATTGGAGGTGTCCATCCAGCTTTTTTACAAACTGGAATTTTAGCTTATAACAACAATATACTGTATAACAACTAGAACAAAAGTTGCTAGACAACAATTTCACATATCTTCAACCGCGGGAAAAAGTCGCAAAAGCTGAAATTATAGCCGTCTGTAATGCGAACGGTCAATTTGACCGCAATGGCCATTCAAGGTAGAAATACTCAGAACTCTTGGGTTTTGTCGTAATAACGAGATGTTTTCTCGTTAAAACGATATCTTTTCTCGTTAAAACGACATCTTTTCTTGTTAAAACAACATATTTTCTAGTAATAATGAGATGTTTTCTCGTAATAACGGCATAGTTTTAATGAGAAAAGATGTTGTTTTAACGAGAAAAGATGTCGTTTATCTCGTTATTACAACATAATTGAGTGAGGCAGCAATGCGTCACCGTAATAAAGCTTGTAAGAGCCAATAAAATTTTTTATTATAACACACACACACACAAACACACACACACAGGTTTCCATTTTTTTTGTGGGGACTCTCCATAGGCGTAATGGTTTTTATACTGTACAAACTGTATTTTCTATCGCCCTACACCTAAACCTACCCCTCACAGGAAACATTCTTCTATTTCAGATTTTCAATACACTCCATTCAATATCAATTATATAAATGAAAAAAAAATACATCCGTTGAAAGGAACAGGGATTCCTCCTTTTCTTTGAAGTGGGCCATCATCAACAGAACAGCTGCAAGGTCTGGGTCAACATCTCTGCCCTCTCTGTTAATGTCTTTGAGGATAGTGCAAACTTATTTTCCCCACCTGGAATTTAGATTTTTGAAGAAGCAGAGAATCCTTTCCCCTGCAGGGATTCCTTTAATCTGAGGTCAAGATCAATGCCAGTCAGTTCCTTGAAATGAGCGCATAAGAATCTCTTCATGAAGAGAAAAGGCCACTTTTCCTGAAGATCTGAGATACTGGGTGGAGGGCTAACATTGATGTTGTGACGTTGTGCAATGAATGTCATTTTCATTCATTCTTGGTGCTCAGCTGCACAAGGTCCTTCTTTGGAAAATAGCATCTCCTTTCTCTTTACCTCTAAAGACTCAACCTTTTCCTCTTCATGAAGTTCAGTAGGGTTCCAGTTCACACAACCATAGCTATCCAGTTTAGCGGATTTAGATGTTGAGGGTTGGCTATCATCCACTTCACCTCCTTTTTGTTTAGGTTTTCTAAGTTGAGCCATTGTATTGTTCCGGTTAAGATGTTCCACCCTTGTCTTCAACTGACACAACAAAGAGTAGTAACCACACCCAATTAACTCTCCCTCTTCTGTTGACTGGATGACTGACTGTGCAATTTCTGAGCATTGCTGCTTGGTTGGATTTAAACACACCTCTCTGATGGAATCCACAATCACCCTAACCATGTCCAGGCTTTAGGTCGCTTTCCTTGTGCAAGACATGTTCTTAAATTTGCTGTCATCTTACCCCAGGGTATTTGAAAATCTGACATCCATGCTGCACTTTGAACTGGGACTGGAGTGGATGTGGGACTCTGATTTGTGACACTGCACAGCGAATGTTGAAGAGTTGGGACAGTTGCTTGGCTAAGTAGCTATTTTCATTACCTAAATGAAACACTGAACATAAAAATATTATTTAACAGATGTACTGTAGAAACGTGACAAAGTATTTAATAACAGCACATTGATAATTGGACAAATGTACATATTTCTCCTTCATTGATCATGAACATGGCTTAAAGCCCACATAAGCTATTTTTACTACTGTATATTACATATATACAAATGACTAACATTTGCTTTTGAAGAAATTAATTACTTTCCTGCAATCTATTGGTATATTACATATATACAAATGACTAACCTCTGCTTTTGAAAAAAATTAAATAGTTTCCTGCAATTTATTGGTATATTACATATATACAAATGATTAACCTCTGCTTTTGAAAAAATACATAAAATAAAATAACAATTAGTTTCCTGCAATCTGTTGGTGAAAGGAAGTCTTTGAGGCCATCTGAGGTGACATATTGGAGGTCATTGTCTGCAGCTGGAGAACGCTTTGGTGGCACAGCGTTTTTCTAGCGGAGAGACGCTTGGTTGCTATGAGGTGGAATATCCACGGCAGTAGCGTATTACTAGTATATAATTTTGAAGAATATTACTGAAACAAATGTACATATTTCTCCTTCATTGATCATGAACATGGCTTAAAGCCCACATAAGCTATTTTTACTACTGTATATTACATATATACAAATGACTAACCTCTGCTTTTGAAAAAAATTAAATAGTTTCCTGCAATTTATTGGTATATTACATATATACAAATGACTAACATCTGCTTTTGAAGAAATAAATTAGTTTCCTGCAATCTACTGGTATATTACATATATACAAATGATTAACCTCTGCTTTTGAAAAAATACATAAAATAAAATAACAATTAGTTTCCTGCAATCTGTTGGTGAAAGGAAGTCTTTGAGGCCATCTGAGGTGACATATTGGAGGTCATTGTCTGTTTTCACACCAATTCTCGTTAATTCTGATATCAAGTCATTCAGTCGATCATTATCCAGAATTGGGAGGGCACTTCTGATGACAGCTTCCATCTTTTACCTTCTTACCTAAGACAAACAGAATGGTGAAGTGCAACAAAATCAGCGTCAAAGCGTTTGTACACTGGCAGAGGGTAATATTCAGCCAGATTCTCTGTGTTTACACACAAATATTCAGGATTTGACTCTTGTTGCAGACAGTGTAGACCCAGATCAACAACTGATTTACACTTTTCAACAACAAAGAATAAAGTTTGATAAGTGTATCAGAATCACTTAAATTTTTCCAAATGTGTACACATAATGGGCCTCATTCATGAAACATTCGTAAATATAGGAGTAAATTCTGAGTAGGCCTAATTTGCGCCTAAAACGGACCTTCCCGAAAATTCTCCTCCAAATTCACACAACTAACATTTTGAAAATACGAACATTTTCATGAATTCGAAAGTTTACGTCAGAACCTTTGCGAACGATTTACACAAAAATTCGTTCTGTTCGTGTTTCATGAATGAGTCCCAATCAGTGTGATCTACCACAGCAACCACTGACGTTTTGTACGTGGTTCCTTTGTATGTAGCAGTTTATGTTACAAGTGTGAATTACAGCTACGTAAATTGCGTGTCCAGGAACGCAGTGGAATATCCTGGTCTACTTTTTCAGGTTTGGCTCCAGTATATTGCATAAATGCAAAAAACACTAATAGGTCACATGCCTAACAATAAATATTCAATAACGTGTGTCCACCAAAGCGTTTTTAGCCAGCAACCTGAAACTCACCTTGAATGCATCTTGGTATAAAATCAAAGAGACAACTGATGAATACTCTTTAAAAAGAGTATTTTCTTAAATTTTCTCCCATTCCTTATATCCTGAAGTACATGAGGATTTTGTGGTGTCTGCCCCTTGGCCTTATCATACTGTTCTTTAACAGATCCATTGTTCAGAAATGCCTTTAGAGTTTCATTTACTGGTATGTACTGAAAATAGCGCTTTTCCCAGATGCATCACATCCTAGGTACATTTGCACGGGCTCCACATAATCAAAATGTTTTTTTGAATATGGACTTCCGAGTCTGATCTGACTTAAAATATCCCTCATTATACATCTTAAGTAAGTTTTCTTTAGATAACCCACTCATTATTTCATTTATTTGAGAGTCTGGAATTTTTTGCTTTGTCAATTCTTCATGAACTTTGGACAAGATGTGTGTCATGCTGTATGTATGCACCTCCATGAACTCATCAATTAAATTCTGAATTGTTGTAGCTGGCAGAATAATTTTTGATTGCATCCTCAAATAAAATAATGCCAAATTTGTGCTGAATGGCTGGACCATCTTGAAATTCCACATCATCAAAGCCTTCAGTAACGTTATTCACATTTGGCACAGCAACAGAAATCTCAGTAATATCTGCACAGATTTTTGAAAATCACATATATGCTTTCTACTGAGGTGTGCTGAAAATGATGACTTCACTTTAAAATACTTTTTTACAGCCAGTCATCGGACATTCCATTTTTTACCATCTCGAATGTGCCACTTTAGGTGTTCACAAAGGCTGGCGAATTTAGTCGACACAAATGTACAGCCTTCAATGCTGCATCGAGAATTCAAATCATGTTGTTTTCTGTCATAGCGAGTTCAGTAACTTACAAATGCGTGGGTATGGGCTAATAATCTGTGTATCAGCTGAAGGTTTTAGATTCAGTCACTGTGATCCATCAGAGGTGCTGCTTCAACATCTCAGTTTTAATTTCAGGAGGTTTTAAAGTATCATGAAACCCCCTGTTTCAGCACTGGTCTTTCACACCTTAAACCCGAGACACACTACGATTTTAGCAATCCTATAAGATCAGTGCATGTCACACTGTGCGACATGGATCTAATAAACTTGGCTACGACATGTGTGTAGACTGTACGATAATGACACCTATTGACTCGTAGGCTACAACGCACATTTCCATAGAAGAATAAAACGTCATCAGCATGCGCTAGTGGTAAACAAAAGGAGCATGATAAATCCTACTTTAACAGCTGTAGTTTTTATGTGTGCTGAAAAAAGTGGAAGCGGCGAAAGAGGAAGGGATAAGAGCTTGAGGTAAGCAGTTTTATGTTTTAGCACCATGTCACGTTGATTTCATGATGCAGTTTTATTGGTTGGTCAGTAAACGTGGATCGTAACAGCAAACACACTGTGTGATGCTCATCGTAGGCTATCTTTGGTCGCAAGACCGTGGCAATGGCCGTCTTTGAACCTCTCTCACTGTACAACACAGAACCACCGATTAGGAGCCATGATCACAGAAATCACCGTGATTGTTTCACGATGCCAATCTTTCATCTGAGACAGCCGAAAATTGTGCAGTGTGTCTCGGGCTTTAGATCTGAAAAAGACTCCAGAAATGGGCGGAAAAGTGGGAGTGTAGAGGGTGGGAAGAGGGGAGAAAACAACCAACACAGACCTACAACACCGATTGTACAGACAAATGAATATTAAAATATCTTTAAAACAGAAAGAATAAAGGCATAGTTACTTTTTGTTTTACGGTCATGTTTACAGAGATGAACTGACAGTGCGGAAGCTCTTTCATGAGACTGGAATTCTCCGCTGTAATACGACCTCATGCATAACACATTGGATCATAAGAGTTCATTCTAATGAATAATACTGAGAAATACTCAGAAAACTGATGTGACGTAGATGCGTACTCTCCACCCACGGCAGCCAATAACCACTACAAATTAACGCATGTACGTCATTTTTCGTGACGTAGGTTCAATTTAGCTTTTTGAACCAGAAGAACGAAATTGCTCCAAAAAATTAAAAAATAACCACTTTCCCCTTAATAATAGACATAATGAGTGCTATTGTTGTTTTCACAGATGTGCAACCTGTTCATATATGTTAGTATCTCAAAAGAAATGTGTTTTAGAGTTTCATGACACTTCAAATCCAGGGACGGAAAATAGGAATGGTATTATTGCTTTAATCTGGAATACTCGCAGTCAGATAAGCAAATTATTATGCTTTGACGTCACTACAGGGAAATAACCTGATTTATTAATAAAGTCATGTAAGCGCAGTTTACTTGCGTTGTCAGGTTGCTGATGTGGATGTAAATGGGGAAAACTGGTTATTTTAATAAGCTGATATTTGTGAGTTATCAGCTTGCTGGTGTGCATGCAAACGTGCTGAACTAAAGCACTGGAGGGCATTGGTCCCAGTTTAAATCTTATTGGCCCCTAAAGTGCCCCTGTCCTGTCACTTGCTGATTTAGTCGTTTAAAATTCAACCCATAAACGTTTCTTTTCTTAATTTTGTGCACCTCTGAAATGTAGAGATGCACCGATCGACCGGCCAGGGACCAGAATTAACCGATTTTCAGCTTAATCGCCCCGAATTTTTTGTTATGCTGGTTGAAAGTCTCTTCACATCCCGATAGCTATCATTAAGTTAAGTGGTCTAAATGTATTTATCTATATTCATATATTCTGTGGAAGGCGTAGGACCTAGAAATGTTCGTCCAATCAAAACGCTCGGTCTGAGTGTTTTAATTGGCTTTACTACCTGCCTGTCAACGTATGTATCTGCATACCTCTGTGCACCCGGTTCGCGCAGACAGGATACGTCATCAGCGCGTTCACGCACGCTGTGCAG